CCTGGCTGCCACCGGAACACAGAGAGAACCCGGGCTGAGTCCGCATTCAGCTTCTCTCCCACCCACGGCTGACCTTGGTGGGTGGGAAGACCCTCCCCATGGCTCAGCACACCGCTCTCTGTTCCCATGGTTGATAAAGAGAGGCACACCTCCCACGACCCTGAGAACCGCCTCGGGGGCCGCCACCTGCCCCAGCACACCAACGCTGTGGCAGCTGTCTGGAGCCCTGACCTGCCCTGCCGAGTGTCGCCAGCACTCCAACAGCAAGCACAACCCTTCCTTAGCACGGGCCCATGCCATCCCGGAAATTGGGCTTCTGGATACAAGGAGCGGCTTCCCAGACCCTCCTCCCTGCCATTCTGCAAGAGGCAATGATGAAACATTTGTTCCTTTGCCCCTCACCTTCATCAGGGGAAAGGTTTCCGTCCATTGATCTGACACAGAGTTCCACAGTCATTCCTTCGAGTTTAAGGCTTTGATTGCTGAAAGCCCCTGGAGGTCAGAGTCCTACCTGGAAGGATGGTGGGTGGCTGATCCTTCCAGTTAGCAGGTCAGTGACTTTTCCCTTGGCCAGCAAGGAAATGTAGGGTAGAGAGCAGGAGATGACCCAGGGAAGCCGAGAAAAGGGGACGGATGGCTTTTGAAGATCAGGACGCTCTCATGGAAGTCTGGGCTGTGGTCCTGGGCTGGAGCAGGGTGCTGAGCTCCAGAAACCTGGGCCAGCAGCATGGTCTCTCTGGCCTCCGGGCCCCCTCAGGTCAGCCACTGTTCCCTTCCCTTCTCCTTGACCTGTGGGTTCCCACAGGATGGCGAGCCCGAGGGCTAATTCCTGGTCCCCGCGTGGGCCTTCCCTCTTCTTCCTCTGGCGAGGGTGTGAGGTGGGTCTGGTGATCCAGGGTGGGGCCCGACTATGGGAGGAGGCTCCTGACAGCTGTGGTTGGGCCTCCAGTCGGAGGATGGCCTGGCTCCTGCCCCGTGCCCGTGCCCGGGCCTCCCTGGCTGCCTGCTGCAGGCACTCCCTGCTGGATACCGCATTCCTGCCATTCTCAGAGCCCGCCCTGATGCCTGCTCTCAAAGGGCTCCTTGAGGTTAGCATTCAAGGCCTGTCGGGCCAGTGGGTCAGCTTGGAAGGCTGTCCTTGTCCAGACCAGACTGTGGGGCCCATCCCTTGTTGCTGCCTCCACAGATAATGACACCGCCCCCTATTCTGGCTACCTCTCCTGCCTCCCCTGAGCAGCCCTCTCTCACAGGCAGTGAGGATGTGGGGACGCTGAGGACCAGGGGGTGACAGCACCCAGCGCTGATGAGGAAGAATGATGCTCCACCAGGCAGCCCCGCTTTAGGAAAACCCCCTCCGTGGAAGGTCACACTTGTCCCAGACAGTCGGTTGCCGGTATTGTGCTGGGAGGGTGGGGGCCACCAGAGGGGTCAGGTCTGATTGGTTCCCACAGGATCAGAGCCCCAGGGATGGCCTGGCTGGGGGCCTGATGGGGGAGGACTGCCCCCCTGACACCTGGTCATCTTCTTGAGCCTCATTTCTGTCTGGGGCTGGGCCTAATGAGGAAGGTGGGGGTTCAGGGGGCCACGGAGTCTAGCTGGTTACAGGGCAGCCTGAGTGTGCCCTTTCTTGGTCCAGAAGAAGCCAGGATTGGCAAAGAATCATATGGGGATAGGGGGCTTGTGCCTGGCTTGCCTCTGGGGCCATGCCCACCCCGTGTGTCCCTAGCCCTCTCCCCTGCCTGAACCCCTGGTTATTCTGGGAGCTTTTAGCTACCACTTAGTCAGCCACTAATGCGTCAGGCCGGGGAGTGAGGGGGGGAGACATGGTGCCAGACGGTGCTCCTTTTAGACTTCCAGGATAGGAAGTGGGGGGACGGGCTGGTCAGACAGGGCGACCTGGGGTGGGGGGACTCTGGAGGAGAGGAGGCTCTGTGGATCCTGGCTCCGCTCATTGGAAAAAGAAGGCAGCTCTGGAGACTGAAGGGCAGGGGTTTGGTGTAGCCTTGGTCCCCTGCCTTGCCCTTCCCGCATCACCACACTGGGGGCTTCAGCCCACCTTTCCCCCTTCTCCTCTCTTTAGGTCTCTTCACCCACCACACAGTCAGCTTTCCCACCTTTGCTCAGGCTGTTTCCACTGCCTAGAATTCTCTTCTTGTGTTTCTGACCCATCTAGCATAGGTCTGTCTGCCTTCCCCATCCTTTTGGATTCCTAAGGAAGCAAGAAGACATATTTAGGGATGCAACACTGAAACTCTTTAGGAGCAGGCCCCGGCCTTGCTCAACCCCTGCTGGGGTGGAGCCTTGAATGCCACCCCCTCCCCTCTTGGTGCCAAGGGGCCACAGATCCTGGCTGCCAAGACTTGGTGCTGCCTTCACTTCCAGGCAGCCCTCCTGCCCCTGAGCCCCCCAGCCCCCGCTCCTGTGACCTGAACAAAGCTTCCTTTCATGTATTCATCTAGCTGCTGCCGCTCAGACACTTCCCCTGCACAATCAGGCCCTTTGAGGGCCTCGGGCAGTGCGGGAGCCGGGCTGGGGCTGGGGTAGGGAACGGGCCAAGGCCTCGTCCTGGGGCCGAGCTGGTGCCATCTCCCCCGGTACACATCACCAGGCGCAGGGGCGGGAGGGGCGGGGGCCTTGGGGTCAAGGGAGGCAATGCTCCTGGACTCCCGTTTCTCCCGCAAGATGAGGTGAGCAGTTCCTGCCTCCCTCCCACTCCTGACCCCGACAGCCACAGCCAGGATTTGAGCACAGCGGGGCTCACGCTTGCAGATCTGTGCAGGGCTGTCCTGGCATGCTATACCCAGCAGCACCTCCATATGCACCCAGCAGCCCCCCAACCTCCGTGCAGCCCTCACCCTCCTGTGTGTTCTCAGCGATACTCGGTGAGCAGCCCGGGGGTCTGTACCAGTTTTGCTTGAGCGCCATGGAGGCTTGCTTTGGTGTGGCTATTTCACCCCTCCAACTGGGCTCCAGGGTAGGGCCGGGCCTCCCCGCAGGGCTTGCTCTTCAGGGCCAGGCCACGGCTCTCCCGTCAGACTAGACTGCCCAGGACAGGCTGCGTCTCCTCACTTGGATGGCCCTGTGACCCCAGACACAGGCTCCCTCAGGGCCCCCCCCACGCCCCTTCCTCCACGACTAGGGCTGAGCATCGGCTGTGCAGACCCCTCCTCTGAGGCCTGTGGCCATGAGCTGAGGCGACTGTTTGGAGATGGCCAGTGTGACCTTGGAGCTTCTCCCCTTTGGCCTCTTGAGGGCCTCAGATCTCAGGTTCCAGCCCCGCGTCTTCAGGCCCAGACATGTAGCTTTTTCTGGCTGCCTGACCGTCTCAGGGAGTAGGTGGGGAGCTGGGGCTACAGACTGTCTCAATTCCAGGTTAGGCTGCGGGGCTGATGGCGGCTGCTCAGGCTGTGGGTGAAAGGGGAGCCGGAGCCAGGGCGCTGAGTCAGGAAAACCTGTGTCTCTCCCCAGCACTCTAATTTTATCCCAACTGCTGGGGAAGGGGAGCCTGCCAGCCCTGGCTGAGCCCTCGCCAGGTGAACCCAAGGGCCGTGAGCTCAGCACTTCTCTGTGGCCCGCAGTGCTGGCGTCTTCATGAACGTTCCTGTCTACCAACACTCAGTCTGGATGAGCCAGTCTCCTGCCTCCAGAGCGACCTTGGGCTAGAGTGTCCCTGAAGGCCGTCTATACAGTGAGCCGGGCTTCAGCTGAGGTGGAGTCTGAGAATAGCCCACTTGCCCACGTGACCTGGCCATGCAAGAATGTATCTTAAGGAAAGGGGGTGAAAGTGGAGAGGGCGGTGTTGCAGGGTGGGTAGGGCGCTCTGTCCCTGCTGAATGCAGAATCAGGAGGAATAGCTCAAATGGCACAGAGGGGACTGGGGGCAAAGTCAAGGACAGGGCAGTTCTTTTCTGTCTGGGCTGAGGGTGTCCTGCTTGGGTGTTACTGCCTGCTGCCCTTGAGTTTGCTGCAGCTGAATAAACAGTGATCAGGCTGAGGACACGGGCTGGTTGGAGGTGGGCTGGTGCTAGTTATGGCTGATTGCTGGGGGCGCCACCGCAGGCTGTCCCATTCCTGTAATTTAGCCCTGCAAGCAGGACGACCTCAGCGATGTCACCGGAGATGAGACATCTTCTCCCTGGAGGCAGTGGCTGCAGAAGTTTTCTTTTTTGGGCAAAACTGTCCCAATCAGCCCTTCTACTTAAAGTCCCAGGCTATGCTCTGTGAAGGGCCCCCATCCCAGAGTTGTGGGGAAGTGGGGGCTGGTCATCCCTCCCCAGGAATGAGCTGGCATCCTTGTGAAACCAGGCCAGGGCAGTCCAGGGCACAGAGTCCAGCTTGGGGGCAGAAGCTCTGGTTCCTGGCCTGCTACTGCCCATGTGAGTTTGGGCTGCCTCTCTCTGGACCTTTGTTTTTCCATCTCTAAAATGGGAGGACCTGGACATTAAGATTCCTTTCTGGCTCTTGATCCTTACTGACCTGCTCACTCAGGGGATGGGTTAGGCTGGGAAGGGTCAGAGAGGGCCTCCTGAAGGAGGGGAGAGGGTTTCGAGCAAAGTGATTCCTGGGAGCCTGAACTGGCCGTGGGGTTCTTAGAGGCCTTGCTACCTGCAGGAGGTGGAGGTGACCGTTTGCTCTGTCCTAGGGAGCAGAGAGCCTCAGAGCAGAGTTGGGGGTCCTCCTTCCCAAGCCCAGCCCTCTTGGGAGCAGCAGAGTGTGTACAGGGGGGGTGTGGGGGTGGGGTCGGTTCTCCCCAGGGGTCCTTAAATTCTGTCCCCACTCTGAGGTCACACATATTGTAGGGTAGGGGCCTTGGCTTTGGGGTGAGGACAGCTGGTTTCCAACCCCTACCAGAGGGCTCCTCTTGTTTCCCACTCACAGCTCTGGGTCCAGTGTCTCCATAGCCAGCTCCAAGCCCTCGTAGCTCAGTGGATGTGGTGTGTGTGGGGGGCAGACCGGGATCTTCCAGCTTCAACGTTTTCTGCCTATTGTCTCTTCCTTAGGCCATGCAGGGCAGGACCATGTGGACTTCGGCTCAACTGAGCCACACACGGTGCTTTTCCATGAGCCAGGCAGCTCCTCCGTGTGGGTGGGCGGACGCAACAGAGTCTATGTCTTTGACTTCTCCAAGGGCAGGAACGCCTCTGTGCGCACGGTGAGCCTGAACCCTTTCCTGCCTCCTTCTCTCTTCTTTCTTCCCCGTCTTCTTTTTATTGATTGATTGATGGATTGTTTTGGCTGAGCTGGGTTTTCGTTGCTGCGTGCGGGGTTTCTCTCATTGAGGCAAGCGGGAGCTATCCTTTGTGGCGGTGCACGGGCTTCTCATTGCAGCGGCTTCCCTTGTTTTGGAGCACTGGCTCTAGGGCATGGGCTTAGTAGTTGTGACACACAGGCACACAAAATTTGTTGCTCTGTGGCATTTGGGGTCTTCCCAGACCAGAGATTGAACCTGTGTCCCCTGCATTGACCTGTGGATTCTTAATCACTGGACCACTAGGGAAGTCCCTTTCCCCATCTTATCTCCTCTCTGGCCTTGGTGAGAGGCTTCAGGGAATCCGGGGGAGCTGGCATGTCTTCCAGAACTGGTCAGCCCTCATGATACCCCATAAGTGGTGTCTGGGGAAAGACACCCCTGAAAGTGGTCCTGACTGGCCTGGGTGTTGGAGTGATGTGGAGACAGGCATGGAGCTAACACGCCTGGCCGGGTAGGGAGCGCTGACTAGGGAGGCCTAGCAGGAAGTGGGCCTCCCAAACCCCGTGACCCTGTCTTGTGAGATTTCTGGGCTGGCCCATGAGCTCTGGGCTTTGGCTCTGGGTATCAGGCTGAGTAGCCTGTGTGATCTTGGGTAAATCACTCCCCTTCTTGAAGCCCTAATTGCTCATCTGTCGAACGAGCCCATCCTGAGGATGCATGGAAAGCAGTTGGGGCATCTTGCCCCTGGCAGGCAGACTCATGTCCCCCCTCCCTGTTCCTCAGGTGAACATTGGCTCCACCAAGGGGTCCTGCCGGGACAAGCAGGTGAGTGGGGAAGAGGGATTGCAGAGGGAAGGCTGGGCCCCTTGGAAAAGTCCCTAAGGGTCTGAGGAAGGAGGCCTAGCCCTGTCTTGGGAGCCGCATTCCGGGAGGAGAGAGGCAGCCCTGTCCTAGGGTTCCTTCCCTAACCCCTTCTCTGTTTTTAGGGGGGTGGGAGTCAATTGCACCCACTTGGGCTCTCCTTAGAGATACCTTCTGGGCTCGGATTTCTGAAACCTTCTTTCCCAAGACTGAGGGTCCTGGTGCTAGGCCTGTCAGGGCCTCCAACCAACTTCTTGCCTTCTGCCTTTCCTGGCAGGACTGTGAGAACTACATCACACTCCTGGAGAAGCAGAACGAGGGGCTGCTGGCCTGTGGCACCAACGCTCGGCACCCCAGCTGCTGGATCCTGGTGAGGTGGCCCCTCCCTGTGTGCCTGATCAGCTCACCCTTGTCTGGGTGGGCTTCTGCCCCCCATGGTGGGAGCAGGTGGTAGGGCGCTCTGAGGCTGGTCTCACCTTGTACAGAGTTCCTGGGAGGATGGGGACCCTGGCTGAGCAGCCGGCACCCATGGGAGGCAGTGACCATGGGACCACGTGGCATTCTGACCCCCTTGGTTTCCCCCAGGTGAACGACTCTGCAGAGTTTCTTGGGGAGAGGAGAGGTTATGCGCCCTTCAGCCCAGATGAGAACTCCCTGGTTCTGTTTGACGGTAGGGCTGTGGCTGGAGCAGGCGGGTGCCCTGAGGGCAGCTGCCCTGGGCTGGGGGAGGGTGGTCAGCACTGTGCCTGGCACAGGCCCCGTGGAGGGGCTTCCAAGAGCTGTGTGCCCTTATCCGTGGCCTTCCCACTGTGTCCAGGGGACGAGGTGTACTCCACCATCCGGAAGCAGGAATATAACGGGAAAATCCCTAGGTTCCGCCGCATCAGGGGTGAGATTGAGCTGTACACCAGTGACACCGTCATGCAGAGTGAGTCAGGCTCCCACTGGGCCGGGCCGGGCTGGGCTGGGCCGACGAGCGTGTGTGAATGCCCTGGGGTCCTCATGTTTCTGGGGGGGGTCTCCCTGAGGGCTGCTGGGGCCACAGGCCATCAGGAAAGCGGGAGCTGGGTGCAGCCCTAAGAAGAGAGAGCCGAGGAGGCGGGCCTGGCCAGGAGCAGGGGGTAGCAGAGGTGAAGATGTGGGCCCAGAATGGGCCTGACACCCTCTGCGGACAAATCAGAGGAAGCCCCAGACCCAGTGCGGGGTCCCCAGGAGCCACAGCGTGTTCCTCTGCTGAGCTCATGTGGGGCCACTCCCACTCCCTCCTCTACCAATTAGGCAGAGGTGACATAGGGGCCCCCAGGGACTCCTCCCGGTCCCTCGGCATGAAGTCATTGCTCCTGGGCCAATGACATCTTTGTAGGAGAGGGCAGAACAGGTGAGGGGTGGGGGTGCAGAGTCTCAGTCCCCTTGGGGTGTTGGCCTGGTGTTCTGAAGTTTATTCTGGGTGGGACTGGACGTGGGTTTGTTTGTGCAGACTCGGGGGCTGGGTCCTCTGAGAGGCTCCTCACACCCGTTCACGTCTGTCCCCGGCAGACCCGCAGTTCATCAAGGCCACCATTGTGCACCAAGACCAGGCCTACGATGACAAGATCTACTACTTCTTCCGGGAGGACAACCCTGACAAGAATCCCGAGGCCCCTCTCAACGTGTCCCGCGTGGCCCAGCTGTGTAGGGTGAGCCAGAGCAGCATGGGCATGCGAGTGTGTCTGTGCCTGAACAGGAGTGAGTGAGTGTGTGTGTGCAAGTGTGCGAGGGAGTCTGTGGGACTGTGGGAGGAAGAGGGTGTGCACAGGAGGGTGGGTGCATCTGTGAGTGGGTAGTGATGGTTGCGATCACATGCGTGTGTGAAGGTGTGCACAGGCGTGTATTCATGGAGAGTGTGCATGAGCATATGCGGGGGAACAAGAGTGTGTTGACATTGTGTGTTTCACCGGCGTGAAGATGCTGGGTTGTGTAGGTCTGTGTTGTGTGTGAGTGTGAATGTGTAAGTCTGGGCAGATGTGCGTCTGAGCCCGTGTGCTCGGTGGGGACCTGACCCCCGCACCCTGCAGGTCCCCAGTGTGGGCCCTGAGCCCTGGGTCAGCCAGCCTGCCACCTGGAGCCTGGCCTGAGTCGTAGGGCACCCCAGCCTCGCCCCTTGGCAGGGCCTCCTTTCCTCCTCAGAAGCTTGGGTGCCAGCCTTCCTGGCATCAGGTGCCCCGGGTGTGTGGGGCAGTCCAGGCAGGTGCTGAGGGACCGCCCCCTGCCCTCCTCATTTCCAGGGGGACCAGGGTGGTGAGAGTTCACTGTCGGTCTCCAAGTGGAACACCTTCCTGAAAGCCATGCTGGTGTGCAGTGATGCCACTACCAATAAGAACTTCAACCGGCTCCAGGATGTCTTCCTGCTCCCCGACCCTAATGGCCACTGGAAGGACACTAGGGTCTATGGCGTCTTTTCCAACCCCTGGTGAGTGGCCCTTGTCCTGGGGCTAGGCTGGTGAGTGTCCAGTGGGGGTCAAAGCACTTGGGCCCTGCCGAGGGGATGGCTGATATGGCAAGTGCAGGGATTCCAGGCTCAGGGGACAAGGCTGTTGCCAGGCCTGGGTTGGGTGGACACAGGGCTCAGGGGGATGTGTGTGCTGGTGTACAGACAGCTGTGTGCACACGTGCCGTGTGCATGCTTATAGCTCCTGGGCCTGTGTGTCCGCCAGCTGTGTACACAGAGCGGCTGCTGGGCCCTGGGAAAAAGGCTACTGAGGCCTCTCAGGATGCTGGGTGCTATCACACCCGCTCAGGCATTGCCTGCGCCTAATAATTCACACCTCTTAATCACTCTCATTGATTGAAAACAAGGCAGGCCTAAGTGCAGGGTGTGTGGGGGGAAGGTGGGGGCATGGTAGGGAAACTAAGACCCTGCTCTGGGGCTCCCATGTGCACGGACCCAGCGGGCTGGGAGGAGGACGGGGGTCCGGCCTCCATGGCCATTAGCATCCCAGGGATGCACGTGTTGGGATTCCTCTTGCCCTGGGGTTGACCTCTGAACTCTGATTCCGTGACAGAATACAGGTTGTGGTTTTATATTGCAAAATAAGGAAATTAGGCTGAACTTCTGTCCCTCCCTCTTTCTGTCCTGCCTCCTTCCTTCCTTCAGTGGTGTTTGCTAACACTCAGGCACTGGCCTTGGCCTCCAGGAGAGTCCCTGCCCTCATGGAGCTCGAAGGCCAGGGGGCTTGGTCACACGGCTGTAGTTGTACTCTGGTGCGGGGCTGGCCTGAGTGAGTGGAGGTGGGTGGTCCTGGGCCTCCCACTGAGGTGGTCTGTCTGTCCCCCCAGGAACTACTCGGCTGTCTGCGTGTACTCCCTCGGTGACATTGACAAGGTCTTCTGCACTTCCTCACTCAAGGGCTACCACTCGAGCCTCCCCAACCCACGGCCTGGCAAGGTGAGCAGTGACACCCGCCATGGCCCAGCCCGCGACCCCATCTCCCAGCCACCCCACTGATCTGGACCTGTTCTCCTTGCCCAGTGTCTGCCAGACCGGCAGCCGATACCCACAGAGACCTTCCAGGTGGCCGACAGTCACCCTGAGGTGGTGCAGAGGGTGGAACCCATGGGGCCTCTGAAGACGCCACTGTTCCACTCCAAGTACCACTACCAGAAAGTGGTTGTCCACCGCATGCATGCCAGCAATGGGGAGACCTTCCATGTGCTTTACCTAACCACAGGTAAGGGGCTACCTGGGACCCCTTTTCCAGTCTACTTGGTGAAAATGAGTATAAAGAATAATGTCATTAACATCTGATTGTATAGCTATACCTGGAAGGGAGAACTGAGTGGCTAAGAGCTGTCAGGAGTTAATATGTGTAGCTGTGGAAGAGTCAGGCAGTGAGGGCTTCCTGGAGGAGGTAGGGCAGAAGGAGGAGGGCATTGAAGGCTAGAAGATACCTGGATTCAGAGGCAGAAATGTGTTGAGTGTGAGCAAAGCTGGGTGTAGCTTGGTCCAGCACTCTGACTCCTGAGGATGGTAGGAAGAGATGTGGAAAGTCAGGTGGAAGGGCCTGGTCCCAGGTGTCCTATAGGCCTCCGCCAGGCAGAGTGAGGAAATTGGTCCCTCTCACTGTCTTTGAGATTATGCAGGTAAGAGGAAACATCTGATGTGGGATGCAAAGAATTTCGTGAGATGTGAGGAAGGGCCTCCAGATGGCAGTGCCTTTGCAGGGTCTTGCGGAGGACTGCCGGGCCACCTCCTCTTCCCTAGAGGGGCTCCCTCTGGGAGTGGGGTCTGGCTGGCCCCAGAAGCAGAATAAAACATTCTGAAAGGTGAGCCTGCATCCCAGAAGGTCATTGGCCATGAAGAAGACAGCCCTGCGGTGGCTTTAGTGCAACTTCCTGGTCCCAGACTGTGGGCGAAGATGCTCTGGGAGCAGGCATGGAGATCAGTATTGAGGGGAGGGTGCTGTAGGCCTTCCTTAGGACTGGGTAGTGGCACCATCAGAAAAGCAGTGTCTCCCCCAGTGCCTAACACCTCTGGGGTCATGTAGTCTAGGCCTCAGGCAGCCCCCTCAGTTGCACATACCGCCCCATGTGACTTCCTGCTGTTGCTTCACCTTGAGGTTTTCTCAGGGTCATGGTGGCCTCATTGGTTTTTTGGCTCTTAGGAGTCTTGAGGAGAGTAATTTCCCGTTCACAGGCTTGGCTTCTGAGTTGTGAGATCCGCCCCTTGACTCCTCCATTCATCCTGGCTCCACCCACTGACCCCTGTCCTTGCTCTGCTCCCTGGCTCCACCCACTGACCCCTGTCCTTGCTCTGCTCCCTGGCTCCACCCACTGACCCCTGTCCTTGCTCTGCTCCCTGGCTCCACCCACTGACCCCTGTCCTTGCTCTGCTCCCTGGCTCCACCCACTGACCCCTGTCCTTGCTCTGCTCCCTGGCTCCACTCACTGACCCCTGTCCTTGCTCTGCTCCAGCAGTGGATGGCCCGGCTATTGTGACCAGCCAGCAGGATGGAGCACTGGGGTGTAGGCGGGGTGACGATGTAGGACTGGGAGCAGGAGCCAGGACAAGGCAGGCTGGTCCTGGGCTGAGGGAGCTGTAGGCTCCCCTTCTGCAGACCTGGAAGCCGATGCACTTGAGTGATGAGGGCATTTGTCTCGGTTCTCCGTGAGGGCCATCAGAGAGGTACCGTTTTGGAGTTTGCAGCATGAAGGATTGGGGCTGGATGGGAAATAGGACTTTCTGAGCCCTCTGCAGAGGATGGGAGCCTCTTACAGCTGGAAGAAGCTATGAGAGGTTGTCACCGGGCTGTGTGGAAGAGGTGAAGGGCAGTGTGGGTGTGAAGGTAGTGCTTGCGCTGGGAGCCTGTCAGGCTAAGGGAGCCAGGGACCACATCCCAGAACCCGCAGAGAGGGGATCGTGGACACTTAGAGGTAATGTCCCCAGCAGGCAGTCATCTGATCATCTGACTGCTTTTTTGGGGCAAGTGATGCCCTGGGAAATTAGGAGGGAGGGAAAGGGAGGTAGGCTATTCTAGAAACTGGGACAGCCGGGGAGGTAGGATTGGGAGGACTCAGGGGTCAAGATGCCCGTTAGTCCCCGACAGGAGTGAATGAAGAGAGCTCTGGGCTCTGAGGCAGGCAGCCTAGTATATGACCTTGGGATCCCCTATGTGGAACCTAAGGTCCTTTTCAGGTCTAAGATTTTAGAAAAATAAAAAAATCCCCTAAGACTGCATATGCAGTATGGAATCCTGGATTGGATCCTGGAACAGACAAAGGACATTAGCGGAAAAACCCGTGAAATCCCAATAAAGTCTGCAGTCGACTTAATCATAACAAACCAGTGTCAACTGCTCGGCTGTGACAAATCTCACAGTCATACAAGATGCTAACCTTTGGGGAGACTGGGCGAAGGGTATATGGGAATTCTGGACTGTCTTTGTGACTTTTCAGTACATCTGAAATTACTCCAAAATAAAAAGTTTATTTTAAAGAAAGCACACCCGAAAGAGTCCAGGAAACAGAAGAGGTTGGAAGGGTCTGGTTCTGCCTGCTCTGGGTTCCAGTCACCAGTTGCGTGACCTTGAGCAAGTTGCTTGGCCTTTGTGAGCCTCATTTCCTTTTCTTTGAAGTGGGGATGTTGATACCCGCCTCCCAGGGGAGTGTGGGGTTAAATGAAGTACTGTAACTGATGCATGTAGCTGGAGGCTTGGCAGTGCTGGGGCACGTGGGACTGCTGGTTCTGTTCTTCGTGCTCCAGCTTCCCCTTGTGGCCTTAGGGAACCCAGAGCCTCCTGGGATGGCCTCCCTGGCCCAGCCTTGGAAACTTCTTGTGATAGCTTTGGGCCCTTAAGACCCTCCCCAGTCATGCTGTCCTCCCCCCACCCCACCCCGTCCTCTGACGCTCGCCCGAGCCGTGACTTATAGCCCTGCCCACCCGTGCCTTTCCTGGTCAGCTCCGCCCAGGGGGAGGCTGCCTGGCTCTGTGGTGGGGCTCCCGCCTGCTGACCCTCTGCCCTTCACCCACAGACAAGGGCACCATCCACAAGGTGGTGGAGCCGGGGGAGCGGGAGCACGGCCTTGTCTTCAACATCTTGGAGATCCAGCCCTTCCGCCGGGCGGCCGCCATCCAGGCCATGTCACTGGACGCTGACCGGGTGAGCCTCCCCATCCTCAACCCGCCCTGTGGGGCCGACGTGACCGCCAGCTGAGGACAGAGCCCTTCTGCGTGTGACTTGCATGTTCTTTTCAGGGTCTCTGGGCCCCCAGGCCTGCCAGGCAGCTGGACCTCAGTCTGGGGGCTTAGAACTCAGTTGGGATCCCTGGCCTGACTGGTCATATTTTTCCTTCCAGCGGAAACTGTATGTGAACTCCCAGTGGGAGGTGAGCCAGGTACCCTTGGACCTGTGTGAAGTCTACACCGGGGGCTGTCATGGCTGCCTCATGGCCCGCGACCCCTACTGCGGCTGGTACCAGGACCGCTGTGTCTCCATCTACAGCTCCCAAGAGTATGTTGGCCAGGCCCCCTGCTCCTAGGAGAAAGTGGACACAGCAGTGGTGCTTGATGGGCGGCGTCCCTTCTGGCCAGACCCTCCTCCGGGTGGGCACCACTGCTGCTACTGGTCGGGGGTGAGAACAGGGAAGGGGCCAGGCCTGTGGCCTCCTGTTTTCTTAGCCTCTCTCTTCCTTCCAACTCCAGGCCAGTGCTGCAGTCCATCAATCCAGTCGAGCCACACAAGGGGTGCCCCAACCCGAAGCCAGGTACCTATCTGGCCCAGCTCAGAGGCTACAGTCCAATGCGGGTGGTACATTCGTGCCCCAGTTGCCCTGTCTGAGGGAGGCCAAGTCTGGTCCTGGGGGCTCCAGACAGATGGGGCAGGACAATCCTGTGGAGGGAGCCCCCTTGGTGTGGGGGTTCTACAAGGAGTCGGGTGAGGGAGGCAGGTGAGAGTAAGGAGGAGATGGGGGCTAGTTTCCCCATGTTCCTTTAGAAGCCTTGGCCTTGTAGCCCTATCAGCGTGGGAGGACACAGCCTGCCTAGGAGCCCTCAGCTGCTCCTCACGGCTCCCTCCCCTCGCCTCTCAGAACAGGCCCCGCTGCAGAAGGTTTCCCTGGCCCAGAACTCCCGCTACTACCTGAGCTGCCCCATGGAGTCCCACCACGCCACCTACTCCTGGCGCCACGAGAACAGTGTGGAGCAGAGCTGTGAGCCCGGCCACCAGAGCCCCAACTGCATCCTGTTCATTGAGAACCTCACGGACCTCCACTACGGCCACTACTACTGTGAGGCCCAGGAGGGCTCCTACCTCCGTGAAGCTCAGCACTGGGAGCTGCTACGCGAGGACAGCGCCATGACCTCGCAGCTGCTGGGCCACGCCTGCACCCTGGCCACCAGCCTCTGGCTGGGTGTCCTGCCCACGCTCATGCTTGGCCTGCTGGTCCATTAGAGCCTCACGGGGCCGGGTATGCTGCAGGCCTCTGCAGCCCCGAGGCACTGGAAAAGTCTCACATCCAGAACCGGCGGGGCCCGCGAGCTCCTTGCCCACCACTTCTTCCCAGGGGGACTGCGTAAACCTGACGGGGGACACCGGGCCTGCAGATGGCCAGCCGCAGGCGGCTGTTGGGCCCCCGTGGGGCGAGGGTGTTGCGGGCCACAGAATGCAGGCTCTGACTCTGAAGCTGGGGCCTTGATGACCCAAGACTTTATCTTTTGGAGATTATTTTTAAAAACTCCTCCTCAAACTGATGAAATGCAGTGATGCTCTTGGCCTAAGAGCCTGTGGGCCAGAGAGTGGGGTTTAAAAAGAGGAATGGGGGACCCCATCTCTGGACCTTAAGGCTGAGGCCCGAGTCCTCCTGGACTCTCTAGACCCAGATCACCCCCTCATTCTCCCTCCTGCCAGGACTCGGGGAGGCTAGTGTTCCTGCAGGCCCGGGGCTGCCCTCTGTGACCTCCTCACCAGCCCTGGGTCTCTTTAGGCAGCTGCGTTGCATGTTTATTGAAGGATGTTTGCTTTCCGGACAGAAGGACGGAAAAAGCTCTATTTTTATGTTAGGCTTCTTTCATGTATAGCTACTTCTGACTGCATCTGTATGAAATACCAAAACTACATGCGGGGTAGGGTGGGGAGGGAGGGGCTGGGGGAGGGATGGGTCATGGGGGGGTGGGGGTGGGGCTTGAGTCTACGGCTCCTGGGAATGGGATGAGAGTCCAGGGATGGGCATGGGTTTGAAGAGAGAAGCATGAGCTGGCTCTGCCCTGGGAGCCCAGTCTGAAGGGGACGTTGGTCCATGCCCCTGGTCAGGGTGGTTGCTGGAGAGGGTGGGATGAGGGAGACAGGGGAGAATGAAGGAGAAAACTGAGCCCTAGGTTCACCGTGTTCATTTCAAAGGAGGAGCCAGGTCCTCAGGGGGAGGTTTCTAGGACTCTGCCCTTGGCATTGGGGGTTGGGGGGCGGGGGGGTCCCCTCCCCTCCCCTCAGCCCCCTTCCCCAAGGGCTGTGCTTCCATGCTCCTAGCCTCCCACCTTCAGCTCAGGACATGTTATAACTTAGGCTAAACTGTGAATTCCTGTAGGGACGGCCTGGGCCAAGCTCTCCAGGTGGGCGGCTCTGCCCCCAGCCCTGTCCTTGGATTTCAGCAGAGAGCTGGGCCCTTCTCTGGCTGTGTCTGGCCAGCCTGGGGCAGGGCCTGGGGCTGGTGGCCTTCCAGCTTCGGCCCCTGCATCTCTTCTCAATGCACTTTAATAATGTAACATATTACTAATAAACAAACTATTTATTTACCTGTGCGTGCTCCTTGCCTTCCACGCCATTCTGGTCAGGGGGTAAGGGTGGGGGCTCCTGTTTGTGACTCAGCACCTCCTGCCCCTGTGAGCCTCACCCCCTCTCCCGAGAACCTTAGCACTGAGGGGCTCCTGGTTAGCGAGAGGCAGGAGTGAGATTTAAACCCACAGCTCTCGAGCACTGCTCTGCCTGCCAGGCAAGGACCTGGAGCCCAGACACTCCTGCACCCCACCTTTCCTCACCTCAAGAGTGGGCCTTTCCTCCTTCCCAGCCTCCACCCCCTGACCACTTCCCTGAGGAGGCCTGGCCATGCTAGAAACAGCCTCTGGCCTCCCTGCCTTCAAGGGGCCCATTCTGGGAGATAAAGCTGATCAAATAAGACCCTGTAGGATAAACCTGTGATGATGGAAGTATCTGGGCCGGAAGGCAAGAGGGCAGGGGAGGTGGCGGGGCCAGCAGGCAGGCAGGGGTCAGTGTGTGTGCGGGGGGGTGGTTCCAGCAAGGAGGGACTGGTGGGCAATGTTTGGGTGCTAAGCGAGCTTGGCTCTTCAACCCCCAGGAGAGTGACAGTGCTGGGGTGGGATTTGTACCTTAGAAACTCTTGAACTCCCTTTAAGATAAAGCCCATAGGTTTTAAGACCCCAAAGGATGTGTGAAAAGGGGTCCCCCAAGGTGGGGGTGGGAGGTGAGGAGGGGAGCTAGGGGCTGTTCACAGGGATGGTGGACAGAACTATGACAGGACCAGGGATGGAGGGTGGGGGCCTGGGGGGGGCGTGCAGAGAGGGACCCGGGCATTCTTCCCTTCCCTCCCCTTTGTTCCCCTCCCTCCTGCCCCTCGTGCAGGGACCCAGGCTTCTGGAAATTTCTTTTTGGCCATGCAGCATGTGGGATCTTCCCCCACCAGGGATAGAACCCGTGTTCCCTGTATTGGGAGCACAGAGTCTTAACCACTAGACTGCCAGGGAGGTCCGATCCAGGCCTTTTGGGATTTGCTGGGAGATTTCGCTGAGCAGTAACTCCTGGAGAGGGGAGTGTGGCAGGCTAGGGACAGTTCCCCTCTCTGAATCTGAGCCCAGCTTCCAGCTGGCTCACAGACCCCTACAGGGCCGGAACTGCCCCCTCCCCTTCTGTCTGCGCTGCACTCTCGTGGGCCAGCCCCATGCCGGAGGTTCTGCATGGTTCTTCCCTCTCCCACACGTGCCTTCCCACAGTTAGCAAGGTGGCCCCAGGTGCTCAGGCCAGGAGTTTGGGCGACCCCAGCGAACTCTGGGCTGGGGGCAGAGACCCGGGATCTCCATCACCCTTTGTGATCCTGGGCAGACCTGGCCTTTCCCGAGCCTCATTCTCCTTGTGTGGAAGAGGACGGGGCTGGACAGCGCCTCTGAGAGGTCCCTTCTTGCACACTGTAAGGGGATCTAAGACTAATTTGGCCTTTGGAAGGAGCTTAGAGTCAATGACTAGGTCAGTCAGTTCTTCCAGCTCATAACTGGGCCGCAGCGGCAGCAGCATGGACTGACCCTTCCTCAAGCCCTGGATGGTGGTGGAGAGGGCAGAAGGAGTAGGTTCTGGGAGTGGCTAGTGGGGAAGGTAGGTCTCAAGCCCTGACCACACCTGGATTGCCAGGCAACCTCTAGGAGGTCCCTGCCCTCTCTCTGGACCCCAGTAAGTGCCCTCTTTTCCTGTGGTGAGTCTCTTGGCTCCCCTGTGGGCCTACAGCAGGGGACCTGAGGGACAGAACACATTCCTTTGTCTCTATGGAGGCACCTCAGGAGAGGCTAGGCGGGCAGGAAGGCGTGTGCATCAAGGCATGAAATGAGCCCATGTAAATCCCATGTAAATGAGCTGGTGGGGAGGGGCTGGTTGGGCCCTGGGCTGCTGCCCTGTTTCCCCCTGGCTGGCCAGCCACACAGTGGGCCTTGGGGGTGGTGGGTGGGAGGACTATAGGGTTGGGCCCTGGGAGCATGGAGATCCACACAGTATCATGGCAGCAACACCAGCCTCTTGGGGGCCAGGTCAGGGACAGGAGCCAGGCTTGTCCTTCTGCTTTCTGTCTTGTGCATCCCGCCCCAGGGGCACAAAAGAGAGAGCAAGACGGAAAAACCAAAGCTCATCTTTCCTGGCAAAGTCGGCAGGGGATGGGGGACTCCTTTATGCCTCCCTCTGAAGTTCGCCTGGGTGATCAGTGTCCTACCATCCTGTGGGCCAAGGCTACTGCCTTCTCATCTCTCTGCTGCTTGAAACCCTGTAACAATTCTCAGCAGTCTTAGCCCCAAGCGCCCTGATCTTCTCCATCCCCGTCTCCCCTTGGTCCTCCACCTTCCTCTGCTGAAGACAATCTGCGCCTTTTCTTCTCTCAGTCCCTCCCATGGAATGCCAGGAGGAGGATGGGCCCAGGCAGAGGTTGCAGAATGACCTCGGAGGAGTCCTAGACCCCACTCGGCCTCCATGTCTCTACTGCTCAGTCCTGAGCTGGGGAGAAGAAGGAGCTTTAGGGGGAGGGCACCTGGAATCAGGCCCCAGGGTCCTGGGGAGGGGAGGTGCAGGTCCTGCCCTCAAGCCCTTGCAGCCTGGTAGGGGAGGCAGATACCGAGCTGGGTGGTGACTGTACTTGCAAGGGTCCAAGGTGGGAGGAGAACCAATACATTTTGGGGGAGATGTCAGGGAAAGAGCAGAGAGCACCTTGGAGGTGGTAGATGGTGGAAAGGTCACTGATGAATGGAAGAGGGAAGAGCATTTGCAAAGACCTGGGCGTGTGCAAGAACTTGGGGTGCTATAGGCTTTGTTGCAATAATGTGAGCTCCAGGAAGACAGAGAGAGGGACATTGTCAGTTGTAGTCACAGCTACATTTCTAGCACCTAGAAAAGTCCCTATGATACATTCTTGTTAGATGAATGAATAAGATGAAAGAGGAGTGAGGTTCTGGAAGTGAGATTAGATTACTACATCAGTTCCTGGGGTCAAGGCCCTAGATCTTTATCCAGTAGGTTCTAGGGAGTCTCCCAAGGGTTTTGAGCAGGGGTAGTTGGGTGATGATGATAATGATGATAAGGATGATGGGGATCTGAAACCCAGTTTTTCACACACTGTATCCCTGCCTCCCTCACTCCAAGCTCACCACTGCCCGACACACACACCCCGACCGCCCCCACCTCCCCCAACACACACCCAATCCTCAGGCATTTCCAGCTGCCTCCACGGCCCAATTTTAGCTTCTCACTGTCTGGAAAAGCAAGTGGAGAGTCTGGGATGGTCTTTCCCAGCTAGGGTCTGGCCAGGAGGTCTGTGGGTGTGGGCTGGTGAAGTGTGCCTGAAATGGCTAATTCAGGCTCAGGAAACACTCTTCTGTTGATGTTATTTAACTCTGGGAGGAAGAGGCCTTGGAGAATAAAACAAAAGCAAAACCTACATTCTCAGGGTCACCAGTGGCCATGAGCCAGCCCATACGAGAGGAAAAAGCACAGACTCACACCCAGGAGATCCTTGTTGATGTACTGATATCTTTTTGTAGGATGGTGCCCATGCCAGAACTGCTGGACCCACACCTGATTAAAATCCCAGAAGTCAGGCTGGCAGTTTTCTCAGGTTGGGCAAGATGAATGGGCTCAAAAGGGCTAGGTAGAGATGAACACATACGTGCTCAGGGTTGGGTTAATAACACAAAGGCAAACACATGGCCCGCATCCTTATCCAGCGCAAGGGTCCTACCCAGGTCCATAGCAGACACCTAATCAGTCATGGCTTTCCTTTCTCCTTAGCTCAGATGAGCAATTTTCTCTAGAACTGCCTTCTAGAACAAGCCCTTGAAATGTAACTCGACTGAATTGAAATGCACTGGAAGGATAAAAAGACATACTGGATTTTGAAGATGTAATATGAAAAAAATAATTTATCTTGTTAATAAATTATTATGTTGATTA